ATCCAGTGACTTTCCATAATAAAAAGGTTCAAGGTCCCTATTCCTGTTCTACAAAGTCCTACAGAGCTGACTCCTCCTGTCTCTCTAATTTCAATTCTTAACACTCGTACCTTTGCTATTTCTGCTTCAGCTCAATGGGCTTCCCTGCTATTGCTTGTTCAAGCCCCTGTGCCTCTTCTCAGGGACTATATACTAGTGATCTGTATATACTATATACTGTAGGATCTATTGAGCCTACCCACATTTGCTCCTCAGTTCGCTCAGATGCTGATCTTAGAGAGAATCCTTCTCTGACTACCCTAAAACAGTATCGCCATGGCTCCCTAAACCCTAACCATTTGTTGTTCTTCATTGGTCACCACCTGATACACATTTTTATTTATTTGTGTTTATTATCAGTCTTCTCACTTTAGAAAGTAACCCCAGTGAATACAAGTGCCTGGTTTTATTCTTTGCTTCACCCTGGGCATGTCACAGTCTCTGACTCCCAGTAAGTCATGAGTAAATGTTCAAAAGCATTCTACCTTTGAGACTTTCGCCTTCTATGTGGAAGAGACACCTAGAAGACAGTCCTTTCTGCTCAGTGTCTCTTTAATTTTAGGCACCAGTAGTTGTGTTGGATAGACTTGTCATTGGCTGCCTATTCTGGGTTAATTTCTCACATATAGCAGCTTTAGTTTTATCTATTTTGATGGGAATTTCACCTTTTCAATCACCCCCCCATAGGGCTCTGTTTATGAATTTGAGGTAATCACTTACTTTGAAACAGGCTTGAATCCCTACACTTTAAAATTTGAGTCGAAAGTGGCAGTCATGTATGTATATATGTTAATGTAATGTATGTCAGTGCATGTTAACCTGCATCTTGCATGTTAATGTATATTAGCACATGTATGTTAATGAAAACAGCACAATTTGAAAAAGGCCAATTAAATGATATCTATTAAGATGCTACACCTTAATGCTGAGTGAGCCACAGAGGGAAGCATGTTGACCTCTGGGCACCTGCATCAGCCCCTGGATTCAGTTAGCACCAGGCCATTGAGCTCTCTCTATTCTCGTGATATGTGCAGTTTTTTTTTTTTTTAAAGATTTTATTTATTTTTACATGAAAGGGCTGGGGTGGGATATAGGCCAGAGGTGCAGAGGGTGAGAGGATTCACCAGAGACAGAGTGGGGAGCAGAACAGCCAGATCTACTGAAATACACTGCTGAGGGGAGCAGTGGGCAAGACTTGAGAGGTCTGTTGTGCCATGTGGGTCAGCTCCCTGGCTGGGGATTGAACTCATGCTGCAGTGGCTGCCTATAGCTTTAGAGTGAAGAGACTTAACCTCTTGCTCCACCTCTTGCTCCACCTACATGTGCAGTTTTATTCAATATTCAGTACATAGCTTCATGACTAATTTTCACATGCAGCTCTCCCAACCCATGCTAAATTCTTTGTGCAAGAAAGGCGAAGCCCCACAACTCCCCTTGCAGACAGACACTGTTGGTGATACCATTTCTCTTCCTCTTCTCATCTTGATCACAGCAAAGGGCCTCTGATGCTGAAAGCAATATGGCAGCTGGCCATGGACAAAGGCTGTGGAAACTGATCACACATCATGTGTCAGTAGTCCTGTGAAAGCAGTGGCAAAATCCAGTCACAAACAGGGATAAATATTTGCCTGTTCATGAATCTGTGTGCTATACTACTGTGTGCTATAATCTGTTCATGAATCTGACTGCTATACTGAGACACTGCCTCAGGGAAATACTATCTTTGCAGACTGATAACTTCATCAGAGCTGTGACTGAACACTCTTCTCCCCTTAGTGAATGTATTTGAAAGGTCACTTCCTCTTCCACTGTCCCCTGTGTGGGGCCTCCGGGGAGAGGAGAGTGGCAGGACCCCTGACCTGGGAGTCAGGCGCTCAGCTCTTTGCCTGTATGCGGCCCGGGGCTGACACTCAGTTCCACTTGGCTACTGTAGTTACTGGTCAGCAAAATGAAGACCGTGGGCCTTGCAATATGTCACCTTTATTCTCTGTCATTTTCTGTGTGTACTGAGTTGTGTGTTTCCTGGCCCCCTAACTCTTGGCCCACAGATATCACCTTACAGAACACACCACTCCCCTCAAATACCACATCCTTGTGGCCTCGTGGGGGGTTAAGGGCAAAGAGCCAAGGAAGGGACATCTGCTTCCTCAGAGGTCAGCGTGCAGAGAGGAGAAGCCAGAGGACTCAGACACCAGGAATTCTATTTACATTTACAACAGCAGAGGCCAGGATCACGTAGAAATATTAATAGCTTTGGGCTTCAGTCCCAAAATTGCAAAATTAAAAAAAAAACAAACAAAAACAAAAAGCGCCATCTGCTTGGAATAGAACTTTCAACTCAGAGACTTTTTCTGGAACTCTTAATTTATATATACTCCATTAATAGTAAAAACAACCTATTCTGGAATTTTTTGCTTTTTTTAGAGGAAGGAGGCAACAGGAAATAAAAAGCTTCTTGTATTAACTTTAATATGAAAACGTATAAGAAAGGTCATGGACTCTGCTCATGAAGGTTGTATATAGTTAACAGGAAAAACACCACGGCCACACATACCTGGCGTATGAATCAGCTCTTATTATTGCCCATGACTTTTCCTCTTAAATAATGAAAAGCAATCAGCATTAAACTGCCTTCGGTTGCCAGCAGCTGTTGAAACTTGATCAGGATTTCTCTAAATCTTGGGGATGCAGTATCCCTTGCACTGCAGTTCAGGCTCTGTGCTATCTTTAGTGGGCCCCCAGCACCCGAAAAGGGAGCTAGTCTTGTGCCAACTCCCTCTTCACGGTGATGAAAGGTGTGCTCTCTGTAATAGGAGCCCCAGAATAACTGCATCCTTACATGTGTGTGTAAGGATGATTGCTTCAATTAAAAATGTATTTCAGATGTGCATGATTTTCCCTGCAGCAGGGAAATTAGCTTCCTGGTGTAGCCTGGATAATTCTGCTTGGCTGGCAGCCCTGGTGCTGGTTGAGACCTTCCTTTATTTTCAGAAGGAGCTAAGCTTTGCCTCCAGAGCCAAGGTGTCATTGTCATAGAGCTTGGCCTGGAAGAGGGTGGGGGTGCTGACAGCAGCTGTGGTGGGCAGCTCCTGCAGGAGCCTTGGCCATGGCAAGAAGAGGAATTCCCAGCCAGCAATGCTCCTGGGACTTCCTGCTCAGCCTCTATCCGCACAGCCAGACTTGTGCTGGGGGCTCTAATCTATAAGAATCTCTCAAACATCCCTGGGAATATAGGGCTATGGGAAAAGCATATTTTCAGCCTCCTTTCTATGAGCTAGGTCTTTATAGATGGAAAGGATGGTGAGTAGCTTAGGGCAGAGTGTAAGTGGCTAGTTGGCGGTGACACTTCCCATGGCATCGACCCCAGATGTCCATCCTGCCTTGGCGGTGGGTGGGCCTGGGGGCATTCAAGTTTGCAATGTTCAGTTTTGGGGGCAGAATTGAATTTCTCAGGATCAAGAGGAGACAATGCTGAATTCTACCACCCACGGCCAAGGGTTAATATGGGACAGGCCAGGCGAGGGTTTTGCCCCACACCACAACTCTAGTAAACGCTCCATTTGACTAAGGCCAGATCTCAAAAGTATCCTGACTATGCTGGACGCACACCCAGCTCAGCGGTGGAGGTGCCAAGGGCAGGAGGAACCCCAGGAGCCTCGCCTGGGAAAGCTTCTGCTTTCATTCTGTTTTCTTGGCTAAGCGTGATCAAGCAGGCACAATTTGTGTTAGGTTTTTGTGAACATTTGCACCAAGGACTAGCATGGAGGGCAGTTCGAGACCAGCCTGGGAGATGGATGATGGCAGGCGGAACCCGGGTAGCAAGTTCCCCACCCTGCGGCGTGCTTAGCCAGGTCCCCGCTTAGGGAGTCCAGACTGGGCTGCATTGAGGCGTCTGCTCTATGACCGACGCTTTGGTTAGAATGGTTGCATGTTGCCCGGCCTCCTGTCGCATCAGAGAGCCTTTCTAATTCTTTGGGAGTGTCCACTGTTCAAACATCACAGTAGGCTGTCACGGGAAGTGCCTGGGGCACCAGCTCACAGGCCAGCTCACTGGAGGAAAGTCCAGAGCCTGCCTCCTTGTGGGCCAAGGGGGGGGTGTCACTTACACTGCGAAGCCCCCCAGGACTTGGCCTGAGAAGCGTCCTCACACGGTGTGCCCCTTCTCTCTCTCCCCACCTTCCCCAACTCATCCGGCATCCCTTGGGGGCACGTCCACCATCACTCCTTGCACACCAATCTTCATCTCAGGATCTGCTGCTGCGGAAACTGAGTTCAGCAAATACTTTATCCCCATGTTTCCTAAATTGCCCCCGCCCCCCGGGAAGGCAGAGACCCCCGGGTACTTTAAATTTCCGAGAAAAGCCGAGATGTGCTACATCCACGTCCCGCGACCTTTAGGCCGAGGCTGCTGTGATAAAATGTGGGCACCCTGTGAAAACCGAGTGGGGGAGGAAAGTGCTTTCCCATCTGATTCTCAGGCTTGATAAATTGCCAGCGTCCATGGGAGGCAACACCCCACTAATAAGTAAATGTAGCTACTTTAAAATAAAATAAAAATAACTTGCATTTAACATATGTGTGTTCTCTTTTTCAAATGGATCCTAATCTTTAAGGCGTAAATGCTTTAGTTGGACCTAATTATTAGAACTTGTAGTTATTTATTTCTTTGGGGTCAGGATCTCCCCTGAGTAAGTAAAGACCTGGTGAGCCTATTAACTTGGGGGGTGCTGGGGGGGGTATTTCTGCTTCATAGTGATGGTTTAATTGTGTTTTGCATTAAAACTCATCAAATGTTCAAGCCCCAAATATCAGTGCCTGTGGCATCATAAGCTTGAGATGAACAGACGCTTAACTCCTTCGTATTTTCCGAGTCTGCCTTCATACCCTGCGAGCCTGATGCTGTTCTGAGGCTCCCCGCTGGTCATTTAAACATGGACATGTTCTCTCTTTTCTTCTTTCAGAGAGTGGGTGAACCGAGCCCCATCTATTCATTTTCTGAGAGTGTTAATCTGCCTGAGACTGCTAATGAGGGATCCCTGTTACCAGGTTCGTTGGAAAAAATAAAAATCCTTTTTACTTGCAATGAAGATAAAGTGAAAAAAGGGTTGGGCTTTTTTTTTTTTTTTCCCCAGTAGACCATGTTCATATTTTCTTCTCTCTCACCACGCAACTGCTTCCAAATTTGGGAACTCTCTCGCCTGCTGTTTAAAAAGATATGAAAGAAATGATTTAATGAGAACAACAAGGAATCTGTATGTGTCTACCATGTTACCCCCAGGATATAGTAGATGTTTATTAAGGGCTCTGTGCTGGCATCATTGCCTGGCACTTTAAACCATTGGCAGTCCCGAGAGCTGTCTGCTTGGCCACACTTTTGAACATATTCAAGGCTAAAGAGCTCTCTAGGTCAGAGTCAGCAGTGGCAAGCGGGGCCCTCCTTTGGGTGCTCCAGAGGCAGCCAATGGGAAAGGCAGGGCCTGAAGCTCAGTAGCATCTTCACAACCCATGCCCTTCCTACCCTCCAGCCTAAGCGATGATCCTGGGAACCTCTGGTTCTTCCTCAGCATTTTTTTTGTTGTTTTTTTTCCTATTTTTCCTATTTTTTTTTTTTACTAGCTTCTTCTCTTAGTTCTGCCTTTGAAAAAGTCAGCCTTCCCCAAATCCTTTTCTTTATCATCTTTCCCTCTACCTTCCAAGCTTTTGGCTTCGGGTATCTTTGATGTTAGCTATTCTTTGCTTCCAGTATATAACTCCAGTCTCTAGTCTCCAACCTTCTCCTTTATTGAAGCTCCCCCATGTTGGACAGCCATCTCAGGGACGTAGTGTCAAAATGTGGCCTGTGGACTTCTTCCAGGCCTCTTACACGCTCTCAGGTTTTCCACAATGTCAAACCTGCCCTAAAATATGCCCAGTGTCATTGCGTCTCCACTCACGCTCTCTTTGCACGTGCAGTGGACTTTTCCCGAGGCCGCAGGCTGTGTCCTGACCCTGGGGCTCTGACGGCTGGTGGAGCTATGGGCTGTGCGCCCTGCTTTTTAAAAAGTTCTCACTTTTAATGACCAATGCGGCAAATAGAGACAGAGATAACCCACACATGCAAAAGCTCTTTGGAGGATCTCAGTCATTTTTAAGAGTGTAAAGGAGCACAGAGACCAAAGGGTTCGCTCGATCCTTCCTCTTCATCTTGAACCTCGAGCTCCTAATGCTCTTAAATGGTGCCACCAACCCTCCACCCTCCAAGGTACGACATTTTGGAAACATCTCTTATTTCCTTTTTGTTCACCCCCTACAAATATATACCCACCACGCCTGTCAGCAGAGTCGTTACAAGTACACTTGGAAAGATTTGTGAGGGTGATTGCAGAGAAGGGGCCTTAAAATGATGACTGAGGAGTGAGCAGTGTGGAACCACCAAGGATTTTTGAACAAAAGAAGCATAAAATGCACAAATGAGTGCTTCAGTCTAAGGACTCACTGCAGTGTGTTCCGCATTGACGGGGCTGCTTTTCTGGATGAGTTTTCAGGTGAGCGCATCCAATGGCGCTGATATTTCTGATGGTGGTTTAAAAAAAAAAATAGTGGCATGGGGACAGCACCAGTATTGGTTTTGAAGTCTGCTCCACCTTTTAATAAGTACTTTTTAAAGTCAGTATTATATCATTGTATCAATTTTTTAAAAAAGGGACCAGCTGAGGACATAAGCAGAGCAAGGATGTTTGTTTGCATTTTGCACGTTGAACTGAAATTCAAATTGACTGGGGACCTGCGCTAGGTCACTGGGCTCAGAGGCATGGAACCCAGGTGTCTGACCCTCCGCCTGCGACCTGGCAGCCCAGCCTGGGGGGCTAGGGAGGTGGGGGTAAGGGTGGGGGCTTTCAGGCGGTGTCGCTGTAATCCAAGCTGGTGGTCGTGTTTGTCTTTCAAATCAGTAACCAGAACTGCTTGGCCCATGCAAGCACATTCCTGGTAACCTTGGTTTTCTCCAGTTGACACGCTCAGGTTAGGGCGATCCAGTTGGTGCAACCGAGGGAAATACAAGGACGACCATGGGCTGCGAGCAGCCTTCTGGGCTTGCTGCAGTGTCCACAGGTGCTGGGGGGCAAGTGTGGATTTCATAAAGGAGGGTTCAGTTCTTGAGTACATAGTGACAAGGTTCTCAGCCTCTCTGCTAATAGCGATTCTCAGGCTGTGTTCTACGGGAGAATGACTGTTCTGTGGAAAGGAGTAGGCCTCGCTGAGGAGGTCTAGAAAAAGCTGCTCACCACTGCTCCCCCTGGGGACAGACAGCACCCCACCCCTTGAGTGAAAATTCTGACCGTTCCATTTGGAGTAAATTTGGAGCTGGACATAAAACTCTTCTCCTTTTTTCTTTTTTTTAAATTTCAAGAATGCTTAACACCACCCATGGCACAGAATAAAATGATCATTCTTCGGCCATAATTTGGGAAACACTGATTTAATTCCATCTTGTGAATATTGATTACTTAATAGATATGTTACTGGTCGGGGTAAACATTTAAAAAAGGACATGACCACGACTGTTCATTTAAACATTATTCTCCACCAAGCATCTAATTGAAATCTTTTTTCATGACCACTCCCAGGTTTCTTGTTTTTCAGACACTGTTGTACTTCTTTGCAGCCAGATACACCATGAACAACTTGAAGTGTGCAAAAATCCCTCCTCTGGGACATCATAGCCCTTCATGCATAGCTTTCTACTAATATTTACACAGTTCTGTCTTGAGTTCCAGCTATTTGTCTCTCCGCCCTATGCGTGCCTCAAACTTAATGAACCCCCGTGCTCTACATAGTCAGGTCCCCTCCAGAGCCTCACCCAGGCTTTTTACATAGCAGTTCTGAAAAAAGCATTTGGTGAATAAATATGAATAGTTTAAAAGGTTATTTTTATATATAAACAATATTCTACCATAACTTGGGGTGATATATACAAAGAGTAAATAGTAATGATGAGAATTCGATTAGGAAGGTAGTCACAGAACTATTTTTAATTGAGTTAAAAATGTCCGTTCAGTCTTAATTTAAACATGGGTGTGTTTAGTGTTTCCAAATTCACATCACAGCAAATAAGGAAACCGTGGCCCAGGTGGGAACCTGCTTTTTGCCCACCCTATCCACACAGCTGGCCTGGTGGCATTGGATCATTCTCACCCATACTTGTGAGCTCGTCCTTGTGTGTTTCCCAGATTTGGAATGACGGTGCATGTGTATATTTCAGATAACTTTATGCTAAGTGAGGAGAGAGACAGATTTAATGAAATGGGTGAGGGCCATGTGTCAATGTGGATAGCCTGAGAGAGTTAGCATCATCTACCCCCAAGCTAGCCTCTTCCAGGACCTCAAGCTCCTGCCCCCTCTCTCCCCTAATTAGCTCTTTAGGGCAGCTTTAGAAGTGTAATGAATTATCTTCTTATTAGAACTTTGACTTCAAGACTTCTCTCAGGAGACATTTTACAATGACTAGCCTTACATTTGTTTAAAGTATGGGTTCAACAAGAGCACCAGTCTAATTGTTGTAAGGAGGGCTCTGATATTCCATTATAGCTATGCTTCTCAAACTTCACCATGCTTGTGAATTCCTGGGGATCTTGTTGACATCAGAGTGAGATGTAGGAGGTCTGGGGTGAACAGGGGACTCCTCATTTCTCATCAGCTTCAGGGAATGCTAATGCTGCTGGTCCTTGGCTGCACTAGGTGGAGGCCCAGGGGAAGGTCCCCGGAATTGGGTGATGCTAGATTCTTACCCATGCTCTGTCACTGAGGCAAAATGGCCTACCTTTCTGGGTCTTCATTTACCTGTACCCTGAGAGGCTTGACAAGGAATGATATCTAACAGTTCTCTCCAGCTCTTTACATTTTATGATGACATGGAAGGAAGTAAAAAGAATGAGGGAGCAGGCTCCAGTTCTGAGAATATTTATCTTCTCATAATCTCCACCCAACTTTCGTATTTATTCACAGTTTACCATAAATGTAGTCTATATGGCAAGCAGTATAGTTTTCCATATTTATGTTTTAATATGGACCTTCAAAATTCATCATCTCATGACTTAATAAAAAACCATACATAATATACGTAATATGTATGGTTACATAATACGTAATATACATAATATACTCATACATAATATGAGTCCCTCCAGCCTCATTTCTTTTATGTATGTCCTGTTGTTTTTATTTTATTAGGAAATACTCCATAGCTTGGGTGGTATTGAAAACCTCGCTCAGGTAAGTTTCCTTTGGTGGTGACTGGTCTTGCCTTTCCATGTGATGCCGGGCCTTTTGTGGTGACAGAAGATGTCTTTCTTACCTTGGCTGCCTGCCAAGAGGAGAAGCAGGCAGGCTGGTAAGAGTGAGTGTCAGGCATGATACTCCAAGAGCAGGGAGTGACCCGTGACATTTTGCTCTGGCTAATTGGACTCACTTTCATCAGCCTGTTGAAATGAGAAAGTGCTAGAACAGGTCACATGTCTTTGGTTAGTCGTGAAAAGAAATGGACATTGACTGGCAGGCCCAAACCCTTGGCATATACCAAATAATGGGACAAAATATTGGTTTGGAGATGTTCACAGCTTTTCAACAAAATAATGACATGCTCACTGAAGTATTAAATAGATGACAATGTGAGGAATGATCTTCATTTATTTTTCAGCTTTGGTAACTGCGGAGGGAAGGCTCACAGGTGAACACAGATGTTGAGCCAGTCAAATGTTTGGGATTATTAATCTCATAAAGCAAAATTTCCCGGCATGTCAATGAGTGGGAACAACCTGTTCTCCTAAAACCTCTGTCATGTTCTGAAGGAATGGTTTTCATAATAAATCCATAGCTCTACAGACTAATTCTGAATAATTAATGGGACATTAGGGCTTGTGGCTATTTAAAGTTAAGCCTATTTTAATTTGTTACATTTTGATTATCAGGAAGTTAATATAACATTTCTAATTTTAGTTTTTAAGAATATTTTTAATTGGATGTTTACCTCATTTAATGAAATAAATGTTCACAAAATTATATTGTAAAGGACCTTATCCTCTTTAACTTCCATTATATCAGATATTTGTGTGTTTAAGCCTATTTCTTATTATAATCAGTTAACCATTGTGAGGAATTATCAGACTATTTCATTCCATTTTATTCTGATTATTGCTATCTGTTTGCTATTTAGATATAAAACATGATTAAGAAACCATGTTATAAAAATTCTAAAAATATGCATTGAAGAATTCTATGTACTATATATTATGCTTCTGCTTGGAACCTTATATGCATTTCACAAGAAATTGTTCAGTGACAAAGCATTTGGGGACTTTGGAGAGTTTAGACATTTTTTACTTGGTACCTCCTTCAACTTCAGGGCATGCAAAGAATCCAGAAACCCTACCCAATTTTGCATTTCAGTGAAACAGGCCCAGAGCACTGAGTTTATTGTTTGGTGAATCTGTGGCGCCACCTACAGGTCATTTTCAGGAATGCAAGCCTTGTGCCTCACCTACTGCCCTTCTGACTTGCTCCTTGCTTTTGTCCCTCCTGCAGTACATGGAGATTGTGGCCAATGAGTACCTGGGCTACGGAGACGAGCAGCACAGTGTGGACAAGCTGGTCAACATGACTTGTGAGCATTGTCTTGGTGACACAGCCACCTTTCGGGACTTGTTAGAATAGGCAGGATGGTATTTGCAGCTGAGCGATACTTTGACTATTGCTCTTTCTCTGCTTGCTCACCCATAGTTTAGATCTGAGGTTCTGTGGGCCCTGCCCCCTCTAAGCTCCAAATCCTTCTTTGAGTTATTTCCTTCCTTTACAGATATTTTTCAAAAACTTGCTGCTGTCAAAGACCAAAGAGAATGGGTCACCACAAGTGGAGCCCACAAGGTGGGTTGTTCCGGAAGGAGTTCCTGCTTGGGTTCACTGTGGTAGCTGGTAGTGGTCACACGCTGGGGTTTAGGGCCCTGTGGTCAAGCCACATATAATTCGTAAGCCTGTAAACCTAGCCTGAAATTATAAGTCTCTGCCAACCCTTTTACATTCTTTATCCGCCTAAGGAATAAATACAGAAACAGCAAAAAGACATATGCTAAAACTATTTTCTGTGCCACTTAATACTGACTAAATTTACTGCCTCATTTAAATGTTGCTTGAAACACCGTGATCCTAGATGTGTGTTTACAAATGAAAAAGTAAAATGTATGCAGACTTATGACTATATTCCATGTAGCATGTGGGGTTGTGCTAGTTTGAACTTGTGGAATTGCCATGGTCTGCAGGCCAATTTCATACAGTTTAACCTCAGAAAAAGATGATATAGATGATATAGTAGCATACAAGCATGTGGGTCATATAGACATTTCAGGATGGATGAATGCAGGTTTAATCAAAAACAGACTAAATATATACTTGTAGTGAAACAAGAAGGTGATTGCCTAGAGCCAAATTTCAATAACCTGTTGAGTTCTCATATCCTAGGAAGTGACTTTCTAGTATATATTAGAGGAAGTTTGCCTAAAATATGTCAACACCTGCAGCTCATTGTCTCGGGGATGATTCTAGGTGATGTAGAGGTCAACACCTTTATGTCAATGGCAGTATTTCCCCAGATGTTGTTATTCAGGTTTTTGAAGGACATTTTTGAGTAGCATTAAGGTGTTAAGTTGACATAGCAAAAATTGTGAAAATGATATGCTAGTGATAGAAGTTTGGGGGAATTTTTTCAAAATTTGAGTGAAATATTTGGAAAGCACCCATCCAACACAAGCCTGACTCAGAATGAGTTCTCAGTGATGGCTTCTTGTAATTTATGTCGATTGTCTCCCCACTTTTCCTTGGGGAGTGGTCAGAAAAGGCAGAGTAGACTGCTTGGTCATGTGGGAATAGAGGGACATCTGAGAACAAGGCTGCCATGTAGTTTGGGCCCTTTTGCTTCCTGTCTTGGATGCAGAATGGCTATAAAGAACTATTCTCAAGGTTCCAAAGTACAGAGGGGATTGACACCTGCCCCTTGTAAAGAACTGGATATGGTAAAAGTTAACAAAACTCCCTTTGAGGGTAAGCCTTTCAGGTCTTTAGAGGAAAGCATTGTGCCGTTCCAGAAGCTTGCACTACTTGTGGAACTAATCTTTCTTTTATTTCATTTTTCAGACGTTAGTAAATTTACTTGGGGCCCGAGACACTAATGTCCTGTTGGGCACTCTCCTGGCGCTGGCTAGTTTAGCTGAGAGGTAAGTTTATTTTACTGTGCTTTCCAGTTCTGCAGCTCTAGTGATTTAGGTGGGAGAGATGCAAAATAGAACAGTTTCTCTAGTCACTTGGATACTTACTTAGTTAAAATTTGTGAGAAATAAGCATGACATTACATTAATATAATATAATATAAACACCCACCATCTTCTCTGTTCCTAAAAAAGTGGTTTATTTATTTATCTATTTTAGATTCTACATCTAAGTGATACCAGGCAGTATTTATCTTTCTCTGTCTTGTTTCACTTAGCTGAATGCTCTTCAAGTTCATCCAAATTGTCTCATATGCCAGGATTTCTTTTTTTTTTTTTTTTTTTAAGATTTATTTATTTATTTATACAAGCACTGGGTATAGTCAGAAGCACAGGAGGGTGAGAGAATTCACCAGAGCCAGAGTGGAGAACAGAACAGGCAGATGGACCGAAATACACTGCTGAGGGGAGCAGCGGGCGCAGCAGGAGAGGTCTGTGCGCCATGTGGGACCCTCGCTGGCGGCCAGGGATCGAACCGGCGCTGCAGAGGCTGCGGACAGCTTCGCAGCCCAGCGATCAACTGCTGCGCCACCGGGGAGGCCCCCAGGATTTCTTTTTTTATAAATGAATAATATTCATTATATATGTGTGTGTGTGTGTGTGTGTACACAGTATATAGTCTCTCACATTTCTTTATCCATTCATCACTTGATGATCATATAGATACATAGATTGTCTCCATATTTCAGCTATTCTGAATAGCGCTGACCATTGATCTTTATGTGACCAGCATGTGATTCAGTTTGCAGAAAGAGATTCATGTTATCATCACACTGTTACCAAACAAATTTAAATTTATGACATGATATTTACTGAACGTTGGAATTTGATGTAGCCCTACTGCATGGGGACATGCTGCATTTTTTTTTTTTTAAAGTTAGGTTTTTGTTTTTTTTTTAAGACTTATTTATTTATACAAGCACTGGGTACAGTCAGAAACACGGGAGGGTGAGTGAATTCACCAGAGCCAGAGCAGGGAGCAGAGCAGGCAGAAGGACCGAAGTACACTGCTGAGGGGAGCAGCGGGCGGCAGGAGAGGTCTGCGCGCCATGTGGGACCCTCCTCCGGTGGCCGGGGAGCGGCCGGGGAACAGCCGGGGATCGAACCAGTGCTGCAGAGGCTGCGGGCAGCTTCGCAACCCAGCGCTCAACCGCTGTGCCACTGGGGAGGCTCACATGCTGCCTTTTGTTTCTCCTCCTGAGACAGTATGAGAGAGAGGAGATTCAGTAAGTAGATATGCTAACATATGCATTTTCATATTTACTAATAGTTTTCCACTTGCAGTCCAGAATGCAGGGAGAAGATAAGTGAGCTCAACATTGTAGAAAATCTACTGATGATCTTACACGAATATGATTTGCTTTCCAAAAGGTAGGCTTGCTAACAAGGGCAGGGGGAACATGATCATTATTTAATAAATGTTGTCATGTTATTTATTGTTACTTGTACATTATAACTTAGCTTGACCTTTATTTTCTATTTAAGTTATATAGGTAAACTAGAGTAAAGAGGTGTGTGGGATTTGTCTTTGTCCCTGCAATACTAGGTATGGTTGTAGAATTGGACTATATAAATTAATGATCACATCTTAAATTTTTTTTTGTTTATTGCATTTATTTACAATCTCTCTTTAAGGAAAGGAACTCTGAGATGGTTCTTTTTTAATTAATTTCAGAGAGTGTGTGAATAACTGATTAGATTGCTAAAATCTGTTTTGCTTAAAACAAGTAAAAAAAAATTACAATAGCTACTGACTTGTTTCATGACCACCTGTTATTATAACTCAAAACAGAGTCTTGAGTAAAATGGATTCATTTTCACTTAGACCACATATTGCTTTAAAGAATTGCTGAATCTGGATAGTTCTTAGGTTGATTTAAAATGGAGTTGTAGGGCCTCCCCGGTGGCGCAGCGGTTGAGCGCTGGGTTGCGAAGCTGCGCGCGGCCTCTGCGGCGCCGGTTCGATCCCCGGCTGCTCCCCGGCCACCGGAGGAGGGTCCCGCATGGCGCGCAGACCTCTCCTGCCGCCCGCTGCTCCCCTCAGCAGTGTGCTTCGGTCCTTCTGCCTGCTCTGCTCCCCGCTCTGGCTCTGGTGAATTCTCTCGCCCTCCCGCGCTTCTGACTGTACCCAGTGCATGTGTAAACAAAACAAGCAAACAAACCAGCAAACAAGTAAATAAAGCATGCCTCTATAAAAAAAAAAAAAAAAAAAAAAAAAAATAAAATGGAGTTGTAGCCTACATCATTTGCTATTTAGTTGAGTGAGTCATAATTTTCTAAAGAGGCAAAAGAGATAACAGAAATCCCAGATAATGAAACCGTGACACTTAACTCACAGTAAACCCTCTTGGATTCTTCTTTAAAGTCCATTTAACCTTCCTTTACAAACTATTTTTATATACTTGGTTATCTGAACTCATTCAGACAACAAACCACATAGGTGTTTGCACAGGTATAGCAAGACCAAAGATGAGGAAGAGACCAGTGACTGGAGTGGGGGTGGGGGAGGCATGCGTCCCCATGTCCCCATGGTTTTGTCACAGCTCTGTAAGTGTGGCCAGGGTCCTCTGGGAGAATGGGGCATAACCTGCCAGTCAGAGAGAAGGTCATGCCAGGCCACCTGACGGAAAGCGGAGTTATCTCAGCAAATGGGGAGCAAGGGGAAGCACAGCATGCTTCTGCAGGGAGGCGTGATATGGTGTGTGTTAGGGAAATATGCCTGGTTGGGCACAGCTGGAGCAAAAAAGGTGCAGCAGAGAAAGTGCTGGAAATCTCGAATGGACAGTTAGTGATAAGTTAAAAACAGCTAGCTTTGGCAGGCTTCCCATATGCCAGTTGCTTCTCCAAGCACTTCTGTGTTACCTCACTTGTTCTGCAGAATCACCCTATTAAGTTTTATATAGATGAGGTAACCAGACATCGCCAGCAGGTCACGATGGACTTTTTGTGCTAAATAAAGGAGTGTGGTCCTTATTGTGAACATTATGCGGATTCACCAAGATTGTAATCAAGATAAGATTTATTTTGGGGGAGGATTACTCTGATGACAAACATTGTGTGGGACAACGTGGCTGGGAAAATAGAGGCACACAGTGAGATCCACTTAGAACATGGAGGGAAGGGCCTGTGTAGATCGTTTGAGAAGGTGAAGAATACTGTTTACCCAAGAATGTGATTTCTGAATGTCAGGGCATGAATTTGGGAGGGAGAGGAGCCATGGAAAATTGGTTCAGGGGCCAGGAGCTGTGAGGCAGTATGGGGATGAAAATGTTGGAGTGGGAGATGCCAGAGGGCTGAGCCTCCAGCACAGTCAGGCAGCACAGGGATGGAAGGAACAGGGGTTGAGTAGTCCCTGAAGACTCATGATTGGCAGCAGCAGGTTGGGAGAGGAGAAGGAAGTTTGTTGGATGATTCCCAGGCTTCTGACTTGGAAAATTGAAAAGATTTTGGTGTCATGAGAAAAGATGAGGGATATGAAAGGAAATAATGATTTTGAGTGTTGACTTCAGGGGGAGGGCTGTGGAACTGCCCTGTGGCTAGACCTTCTGGAGGTGGGTGTGGTGCCCGGGCTGAGCTCAGGATGCCGGGGTACAGGGGGTATTTAAGGTTGTGGGAGTGGATGACGCCACCCAGAGAGTTTCAGAGAGGGAGGCGGGAGAACGAAGGGTGGCTCTGTGATGCATTCATCAGCAAACCTCAGCATCATGGGTTCGAGCTCGTCTGGACCTTAAGCTGTACCATCATGATTTTTTTCCTCTCCCTCGATTATGGCTGAGCACTTTGGCACGTAATTCCCCATGCACTGTCAGATCTTTACCGTTTTGTTTGAATGTCTTGTTTTTGCAACCGCATAATTTCTGAGGACGAGGATAAGGCTTTTGTATTTCTTTTATTTTGCGCGCAATGGAGAACAGTGCAGGTGCTCCACGGCATGAGTTGGTTAGTACGTTTTTAGGGGCTGCAACCAGGGTATGACTTAGAACAGTGGTCACCAAACTGTGACTCACAGGTTCAGTGTGGCCTGCTGCCTGGTTTTGTAAATAAAGATTTATTGGCACACAGCATTGCCCGTTTGTTTCCATGTGTTGTCTGTGGCAGCATTCACGCTATGTGGGCTCCCTGGGTGATGGTGACAGAGGCCACATGGCCAGCAGAGAGGAAAACATCCGCGGTCTAGCCCTTCCCAGAAAACCCATTTTGACGTGGAAGGCACTGGTGATCGTGCAAGCAGTGGGTCATTTGTATTAAAGGCACTGGCCCACGCTCCTGTGTGTCTCATCCTCTCTCTCCTCCCCTGCAGACTGACAGCAGAGTTACTGCGCCTACTTTGTGCTGAACCCCAGGTGAAAGAGCAGGTGAAGCTCTACGAGGGGATCCCCGTGCTCCTCAGCCTGCTCCATTCCGACCACCTGAAGCTGCTCTGGAGCGTTGTCTGGATTCTGGTCCAGGTTTGCGAGGACCCCGAGACCAGCGTGGAAATCCGCATTTGGGGAGGCATCAAGCAGCTGCTTCACATTTTACAGGGGTGAGTCAAAGCGGGCTTTGGCTACTTTGCCCTTGCGGCCGAAAGCCGGGGACGCTGCCATGTGGGGCAGATGGGGTGCATGCTCAACTCTCTCCCTCCCTCGGGCTGTGGGGTTTCTCTGGTCATTCATGTCGCTGAGTCGTCGATACCGGTCACAGATGCTGTTAGTCAGTGACAGGACATTTGTCTTCTAAGCTCCTGGGAGACCTGATGTATCTTCCAGTACAGCGCTAGGAAGGTAGGGGGGCCAGTCGTCTGCAAAGGTGGGTTGCATGGAAATCCAGTAACCCAAAGAAAACATTTGTCTTTGAAGCTGTATATTCATATTGTCATGCCAACAAATGCAATAATTACTAATAATTTACTGAAATGTGTGTGCATGTGTCACACACATAGGAGAAAACAAAGCCCATATTAAAGGCATGGACTTATAATCCTCAGTAATAAATAAATAAATAAAATATTATCAATCAAATGATTGTTGTATCAGGGATCCTGGTCCAGTTGCTCTGTGTTTTTCTCTAATTTTTAACGCAGGCCTCCAAGGTGGGTTCACACCTTCTTGTCTCTCTTTTAAAAAAACTAAATTTCACTGACATTCCAAGCCTGGAGAGTGGGGGTGAGTGGTTTGTTAAAACAGTTTCAAATTGAAGTGCTCCTGGACTCTGTTAAAAATATGGTGGGATAACCACTATATTTTATGGATTAGATATGTTGAAGTGTTGAATAGTAACATCTCTTGGTATCTTCATTGGGAAGGTTCTATTACCTGATATTATTACAAAGCATAATTCAGTCCTGGAGGTGCTGAATCAAAACTGAAAAGGAATATGTCTGCCTGGAAAGGATCTCCTTTATGGTCTGCGGAACATGAACAAACCTCATTGGAATAAAAGCAGAAAGACTTATCAATATTAATATGACCAGATATTATCAAATCAATATCATTCCGACTTCGTACTTCCTGTCTCTGGGGATATTGCAGAGCTCTGTGATATTGACTTCATTTTCTGTGAGGGAACATTCCAGAACATAAGAATGGGGCTGCAGAGAAGTGAACAGTAGCTCTGTTAGCGATTTCTATCATTACCATGGCAAAGGGAAAAATGTAGACTTTGGAAAATCTACTTGCTTTTATGACTATCACAAAAAGATCTCAAATGTTTTAAAGTATAAATTATACATCTTTGATTAGTACTGTGACATAATAAGCTAGTCCCTTGGTTAAAATAATCACAATTGCCAAAGGTTTTATTTTTGATGATTACCTGACTTTGTAGGATGGTGATGGTGGTGGGGGTAGATGTTGTTGGTCCATCATATTTATTTCAACAGCTCTTAAGTTGGGTTCCTGGAGAGCAGCCATTTTCTTGATGATAAAATTAAATTCTTTAATAATTTAGCAGTGCTTCAAAGGCAAAGCTTGTTTAATACAAGACACCAGTTTACACCTTTTGCTCAAGCCATAGCTAGTCCTTGATAGAAAAGGGTTCCTTCACCTCTAAAAAGTCATTTTCCAGTCCATTCCTATGGTGCAATGTAAGGAAACTCTTCCCTGGGAAGATGATTTATGTCAACACTTTTTTTTTAATGTTAAATATGTGTCACTGCCCTGGGAGAATTTATTATACCAACTGGATAAACAGTATCCTTTCAGAACTTGTGCTGCCCTGGGCTGCCTGGAGCTGGTAGCAGGGGAGGAACTTGCCAGCTGGTTGGTTGACTTGAGTATGAGTAAGCACTATTGTAAGGGAAGTTTCCAGAAGACCTATGTATGCCCATTTACCTGCAGGTTCAAATTCAAAGGAAGTTTCTAAAGGGCTACATACTCTGGGTCAGGTGGAATGATCCATAACATTTGAATTTCAACATAATTGTGTTGACCAAAGAGATCACTGGCTGTGACTGTCCCTAGCCCCAGCTCCATTGCCTTTCCCGTGCTGCCTGACAGAATACCAGTGGGTCCAGACGACATGGGAAGGAAGCCAAGGAGGTGTCATTGTTGTTGCCATGAAAAATAAATAAATTCAAAAATATGGTGAGCATGTAAAACAAAAGGGAACAAGGCAAATAAAAGACAACTGAAAAGTCTATCATGGACGACACCACAATAAGTAAACAGAAAAACAAATGCTTCCTTTTATCAGAATGTGAAATTTATGACATGGAATTAAGGATGGGGTGATAGCATGATAACTAGGGGAGCAGGGGGATTGCAGAATTAGGAGAGAGGGTGATGACTGAATAATAACTCATCAGTCCTCTAACTTACCAGAACAAGGACAGGGGATGACAAGCTTGGAAAAATAATCACACATGATGTAGAGAAAAAGGCAAAAGAATAAGAGCAATTAGAAAATGAAAGCTGTGCATTTTCACGTGTGAGTAATTGATACCCTTGAGGTATGGAACAAAATAAAAGGACTTAAAAATAGCTCCAGGAATACTAGGCGAGAACTTTTCTAAAATAAAGATTGGAATTTCATGGAAAAAGAAAAGGCAGAATGGCGAAGACTGAGGGGAATTCAGGTGAATTGACTGCAGCCTCAGGGTTCAAAAACAAAGACAACTCTGTGTGTGTGTGTGTGTGTGTGTGTGTGTGTGTGTGTGTTGGGGGCATGAAGGACAGTCTTTTCAATAAATAGTGCTGAGTACCCTAAGTCACCATATTAAAAAAAAAAAGGCTTCTTCCTCACACCACACACAAAAGTCAATTCTAGGTGGATTGAAAGCAGAAACTTTAAACATAACATAGGAGAAAACTTCATGACCTGGGAGAGCAAAGATTTCTTAAACAGAACCCAGAAATCACTGACTATGAAAAAAAAAATTGATAAATTGGTCTGTGCATTAAATTTTCTTTTTCAGAGACAGAAATTTTGTTTCCGATCGTTCTTCCATCGGAAGCCTGTCTAGTGCAAATGCAGCAGGACGGATTCAGCAACTTCATTTGTCTGAAGATTTAAGCCCTCGGGAAATACAAGAAAATACTTTCTCTCTTCAAGCAGGTATTTATATCATATTATTATGTTTTATTATTTGGTGCTATATAACTCAGTATATTATATTATTATTCACTGTTATAAAATCTGTTTGGTGTAATATTAAGTAAGCATGATTCGAAAGTTCTAAAACTATGAAGTTAAGTCTCTGTGGGTAGGGACTCGAGACTTCTTGCTACCTGCGTTGGAGCTAAGTGATCTCACCCGCCTTCCTCCTGGTGAATGGATGAAGAAGTAAACATAGAAGTCAGACGTGAATAGAGCAGAATAATAGCATTGTTGCTGCTAAAACTGGATTAGAGGACGCAGCTTGACCTGGGGCTAGAATCATGGTTCTTATTTTATTCTAGTTACAATATATTCCTTCAGCCATTGTCGCTGTGTTTACTGAGTACCTACTAAGTGCCAGGCACAGGTTGGGCACTGGGGATTACAATGAACCAGCTGGATTCAGTCTCTGCTCCTTGCTGCCCAGCTAGTGCTTAGTAAAATCACCTGGGTTACATGAGGAGGAGCATTGGAAGCCATTAAAAATCAGTTTCCCTGCTCTCAGAGCTGAGCCAGAAGCAAAATTAGTGTTTTGTGAGGGGGACCCTGCTGAACTCTTCCCTGTGGAGACAGTGTGTTGACATAGCTGTGTAGACAGCGTGTTTATGTAGCTGTGTAGACATGGATACGATGTATTGGGTGGTTTTTGTTGCAGCCTGCTGTGCAGCCCTCACGGAACTGGCGCTCAATGACACTAACGCCCACCAGGTCGTCCAGGTGAGAGTAGGGCCCTGGGGTGGGGCGGGGGTGGGGGCCCTCCAGGAGCATGTCGCCAGGGCCTACCCGCCTCCATGTCTTACTTAGAACTCAGCTTTTGGGATCCCACTATGTGTTTTTAAAATATTTTAGTGTTTTATTTACTTAGAGAATTACATTTTGTTATCGAATCCTTCTTTGCCCACATATAGTAGAGTTTATGAATTACGCATTTATAGATACAGAAAAGTAGTGATAAATTAATACATAGTGTTCATTCCTCCAGAGGTATAATTGTATTAGAATAAGTTTAGAAAGATGTTACCTGTGTTTTCATGAATAAATTTCATTTACCCTTTAAAAATCTGTAATTGTTTATTTTTTCTATTTTTTGTGCAATAATTTACTATTTATATTGTTTCCATACCACGACTTATAAAAGGAGAAATTATATTTCATAATTAGATATTAAAAGTGCAAAGTATAAAGATACTTGAATTCCTTTACCGTGTCCCTTTTTCCTTCCTACTCTTTGTTTTTAAAGTATTAAAATCACTTTAAATTCATATACTTTACTACTTATAATCTTGGCTCTTTAAAAACAGTTGAAATTTTAACATTGGGACTATATAGTCTTTGGTGTTTTTATGTGTTACAATGTCATTTTAAGCATTGTCCCGTAATATCTACTTAAGATTCCAAAACTGTACTAGCATTTCTTCCTTAAAATTAATGTTTAAAATTGTTTAGTTGCTCCTATAGCTTGTGTATCTCTATGGCACTGTCACTGGTCTCTAATAACATGGCCCTTTTATTCTTCCAGGAAAATGGTGTATATACAATAGCAAAATTGATTTTACCAAACAAGCAAAAGAATGCAGCAAAAACAAACCTATTACAGGTAATGAACCTGCCTATTGTTCAATGTTAAGTTCCTGAAATATGCGGAGACCTTGATCACATAGCCTATAATTTTAGGTTAGCACTGGCCCCACTTCTGTCCAAGGGGACTTTCTGTTAAAACAATACAAAGGGCCCACCATGGTTTGTCTGCAGAGGGTACCTAGGTAATCTTATTTACATTTTTTTCTTCGCCTGTCAGTAAGTTCTACCTTTTTTTATTTTAGAACCATGTTTTGTTTTTGTATCAAACGCTAATAAAAGAAGAAATTTAAGTGCTATCTTGAAGCACAGACCACAGTGGCTGGCATTTCACCTTTACAAAGAAAAGCTGTAAAAGGGATCTTAATGGATGAGAGGGGACTTGCCAAAGGGCTAAAGGGCACCTGCTGCAGGGTAGAAGGGCATTCCACACAGAATGCCCTCTCTGGGCATTCCCAGACAGGGGGGCGGGTGCTGACCGCTTACCTGTGCTCAGGCTGCCGAGTGGGGTTGGGCTGTATGTTGCAGGAGGGGGTGTTTCAGGATCTGAGAACTCAAAGGTAAGAAGGGGGCCTGTAAGTCAGGGTCCCCTGTGCTTTTCTGAGGAGTGGACATCAGGGGCTCAGTGTTCCCTAAGACAGGGAAATGAGAGAAGCAGATTTAAAGCAAGTCTTTGCAGTAGTTGAATAAGTCTGGGAGCTGTCCCCCAGAACAGTGGTCAAATGGGCAGAGAGTTTTTGATGGTGCCTGTGGGCTATACAGGCGGAGGTTTTGGGGAGCAACAAATGAGATCATAGAGGTGTGGCACCTGACTTCTTCAGTGTACCCCAGATGCCTGACACTGTGCGGGGTAACAGATAAAGTCAAATCCATCCTGAAGATATGATTTGTGAAGCCAGCAGAGGGTTCTTAAGAATTCAAATCACAATGGTTTCCAAGAAACACGCCTGTTCTCCACTTTCTCAGTCTCCACTTTCTCTCATCAGGCGCCTTCCTGCCATTTTGCTATAAGCCTGGCTTCCCTGGGCAATTTTGTTCGTGACCCTTCTATACTCAGATCACTAATTTTACGACATGATTTCAGTTTTGAGTTCAGTAGACCCCGGTCACCCCCACGGTGGCCTAGGGCTTGGGCGCAGCGGCCAGCTGGGGGCTCTCTTTTTTCCCTTGGTGCTGCAAAATGTCAGATGTTTATTTTTCTGAGTTAAAGTCTCCCAGGCCTCTTTCTGAGTGTGCTGGGGAGTTACTGTAGATTGTTCTATTTGGGGACTGCTTCAGGCTCTTTACTCAAGAGACCAATTTGTCAAGTTTGAGTCCAGTGCGCCTGTGGCTATTTTTATATGTCATCATTCCTAGTGTTTATTTTCTCACAGAAGCCACATAAATATTGAAGCACATAGAGCCGGGGAGAAACAAAATAAACCATGAGGCTCCTGGAAATCTTTGGACATTTGGTTTTCTCAGCACAGGCATTTTATTTCTTGCCTGTGCGCATTTCGTACTTTCTAGAAAGGCATTCCTGACAAGTGCTGATGGAAACTGGGCCAAGATTGCTAACAGGGCTACAACATAAGTACTTTTTAAATACGACAGCGCAGGTGTCAATGATCTTTGTTTTCAGTCACGAGCGTTGACTCCCACGTAGGCCGCCCGTTCACAGGAAGCCACTTTGGTGTTCCCTGCCTGATCATTTTGTTCTGAATATGCCAAGCTGCTGCTTGCGAGTCACCTGTCCCATTATTTCCTAGTGTTACGCTTTCAGAGCCTTGAGGTTCCTCTTCAGTATGGAAAGAAACAGACCGCTCTTCAAAAGGTAGGTGCTTGGAAAAACCGAGGTGCCCAGGGCCGGTTTCCCAGAACTGTTCTCACACGTGTGCTTTAGATGCAAACAGTGAGGAGACCAAATCAGCATGCGAAGGGCGTGTCTTAGGATTCTCAGAATCCGCAGAGAGAGCTGAGCTGCCCTCCTGACCCTTGAATTCTGAGAAGGAACTGATGATAAAGAGCATGAGTTGCTCTAACAGTACAACTCCTCTTAAGAATTGCAACTGCTGTGGGTTTTAGTTTTGTTTTTGATATTAAGACTTTAAATAGATAAGCTCTAAATATGTGCTTGTGTTTGCCCATCTAGAAAGGCCAGAGTTGATCTGGTTATTTCCTCATAGTCAGTAGGAAAACAATGGATATCCTCTGTAGGGTAGGACTCCTTGAAGGGAAGGTGGCTGAGGTTCTAGGGTCAAGCGTCTGTTTTGGTGAGCTGGACACACAGAGAAATCACCCCCTTGGAAAGCAGACGCTAGATCCCTGTGTGTGTGGTCGGGGTGCCAAAGGGCCAGACAGGTCAGGCTGTCACTAGGGCCCAGGTTCTACCTGGGATTTTATTGACTAGGCACCATAGGCTATAAAGACTTGAGTTACAATAATGTCTGTTGTCCAGAGGCGTGGAACTTGCTCTTTTATTACTTTATTTCCATCTCCTGCTTGAATGTCGGGGGAGATAAGAAAGTGCACTTAGCGTTTCATTTCAAGGCCCCAAACCATTCGCTTCCGTGGACTTCCAGATCTTAATAAGCCCTTCAAATGATGCTTACATTGTTCCATTTTTTTTTTTTCATTTGCTGGTATTTTTATCTTATTTTCATAAAACATTTTAAAATTAGGTTAATAGTCATCTAGCAGGGTTCATCTGAGAACTGAGTCACATGGCATTTATGGAGGTGCTCAGCACTCCATCAAAACCCAAGCACTCCTTCCTAATGCCCTAATTCCTCAGCCTCCAATATCTCACAAATAAGGACTTCATTTAATCTGTACCACATCTTTTGTGTGTATTTTCCCTCACCCCTTATGAACTGGAGCTGTGGTTTATTTTTGTGAGAATAAGTTGGTGAGTACTAATAAATATTTCCCCCACGTAGTTGATAACCTCAGAAAGTAAAGTGCGTTCACTGTAATCAACCTGTGAGTGAGCGAGATCTCTGTGGGAGGGAATTCCCAGCAGCTCCCCAAGTTCCACATGAAGTGTACTTGTGTGTTTTCCCCTGTAGGTTGTTCCCCACCGACTTGTTTGAGATCTTCATTGATATAGGACATTATGTTCGTGATATCAGTGCGTACCAAGAGTTGGTCTCAAAGTTGAATTTGTTAGTGGTAAGTCTTTAGTTTCAAATATTTTCGCAGCGGGCTGGTATCTGGTCAGGATGGAATGTTTCACAGCAAACCATTTCCTTTCTAATTTTTTGGTTAGGAGGATGAACTGAAGCAAATTGCTGAAAACATTGAAAGCATTAATCAGAATAAAGCTCCTTCGAAATATATAGGCAACTACGCGATTTTGGATCATATTGGAAGTGGAGCTTTTGGCTGTGTCTACAAGGTGACTTTGCCCTTGGGGAAAAACATGTCTGGTGTTCCCCAACAAACCAGATGTACCCCCGGCACACACACACAATTGAGTGGGAGCCTTCACCACTGAAAACAGTGAACAAATAGAATAATGAGAATGATTGCTTTTGTCTAACAAATAGCTGCATTGACATTGTTGTATCTCAGCTTTAGAAAATTGGTCACTGACTTTTGAAGACAAAAGTCATCATTAAGCTCCCAAAAAATAATCCAAATAGCTTGTCCCCATGCATGACAGTCTCGTGTGTATGTGTGTAGAAGAACTAGGGTATAGGCCAGAGGTGTGGGGGGTGAGAGGATTCACCAGAGATAAAATGGGGAGCAGAACAGGTGGATTTACTGAAATATGCTGCTGGGGAGCAGCAGGCACGTCAGGAGAGGTCTGCTGTGCCTTATGTAGGTTAGCTCCTTAGGTGGGGATCTAACTCAGGTTGCAGCGGTGATAGCTGAGACTTAACCCCTAGGCCACCAGGAAGGCCCCCTCATGCATGATACATTCTTTACATTCACTCCATTGTTTCTGTATTTACCCAATAATATCCAATTGAATACTGCAGACTGGTGCAGGGGATACCAAGTTTTTGAACTACCTTAGTGTAAATACAGATAGATTTTTAAAAGTTTTTTTGACTTGTTTAAAGATGATTTGGTTTAATCATGTGACCTAATTAATTGATCTTTCTCCTCTCCTTTCCACCCCACCCCATTTTTTTTTTTTTTTTTTAATTTTGCCTTCCTTATTTTAGGTTAGAAAGCGTAGTGGTCAAAATCTCTTAGCAATGAAAGAGGTCAACTTGCATAACCCAGCATTTGGAAAGGATAAAAAAGATCGAGACAGCAGTGTCAAGAATATCGTTTCTGAATTAACCATAATTAAAGAGCAGGTAAATGTTCTTGTTGATGGAGATGTTGTTCCTTAAATAAGTGTCATTAAACATAAGTAGAGTTCTTGTGCCATTCTTGTATATACTATTTAAAAACTGCTTCTGTTTAGAATAGTTGACATTGAGATGGTGACATTTTAGCCAGCTTACCCCCTAAGGCTTGATGTTGAACCATAGAAGCACTCTTTGAAGGTCTGGGAATACTTGTGGTTGAGCATATGGCACAGAGAGAGTCATAGATGCAAAATCCTCTTTTTATTGTGAGCACATCCATTCCCTTCTCATTATGTTGTAGAACACTTGGTTACTTAGTTACATGCATAAAAAGATGAGGAAGAGTTCCCTGACTTTTGTCAAGTGGAACCAAGCTGTGAACATTCCTCAAATATGGCTTATTAAGTCTGAAATGTGGATTTTCAAGATGGGTTATTGGCATCAGCTGCATCTTCTGACATAATGTAACAACTCAATTAACTATCATTATGAAGATTTGTTTGGAGAAAAAGAATAAACATGTCAGGAAAGAAATGGAATTTGTTTTTGTGCTCCAAGAACACATTGGTTTCTTTTTCAGCTTCCCTTATGTGTGCATTCATCACCAACACTGTTCATTTATAACTCCCGTGGAGAGCTGTCGGCTTCCCGGCTCTTTGTTCCCCATTAGTTAAACTTGCGTGACATCTGTACTGGAACATAACGCTCACCATAAATGTGATGATCTTTCGTCATTGAAATCTATGATTCTAACTCCAGTTCATAAATTATAGTAAATATTATCATTAATAGATTTTTTTACATAGCTGATTTTTCTGTCCTCAGAGACTAGACCTATATGAAGTTAGTGCTTGCTTCTATTTAAGCAAATTCAGCTTCAGCAACATTGTTTCATTATAGCACAAGGTTAGAACATGTGTCTTAAAAGTGATCCAGGATTTTCATTGGAACTCAAATCTGGACTATTCCTGGCCCGTGAGCTTGATCCAGAGTATGGTTCTGGCTGCTTACTGCATCTCATATTGTTTAAAATCTTCCGGCCACTTGCTAGTTGATGAGGTGTACTGTTTGTCTTGTACTTTTCCTCAGAAAAGTGTCAGGGTGGGGCATCTGCTTGAACTTTGAGATACTTCAAAACCCCACAACTGCACTTCTGCCAGAGGACTGAACCGATGGAAAGGATAACAATACTGAGGCCTAAAAGGAGGAAGTAAGGGCAGACAAGCAACAGAATGGGAGAATGTATTTATTAAGGTTAAGACTGAGCTGTAATAACAAAGGGGTTGCAACGTACATGGACCTAAAAATAAATGATATTTACAAAATATGATATTTACAAATGAAAATGATATTTACAAAATATGATATTTACAAAATGAAGATATTTACAAAATAACTATAAAATAGCTATTAAAAAAAAAAAAACCCTCCAATATGAAAGACACTGAACACACCAACACAGAGTAGTGGGCTGGCTCTGTTACCTCAGAGTCCCCGTGTGAGTGGACCTGGTTGGTGGTGCCCTCTGTCCCAGGTGGACAGTAGGTGTCAGTTCTTCCTCTGTGACTTCCCTGCCGCCTCCCAAGGCATCGACTTCATCTGCAGAGATGGACCTGCCACAGGTGCGGTCATATCCAGATTGGAAGAAGACACTGAAGCTCTTCAGTGTTTCTGGGTTAGACACAGGAGTACACATTTCTCCTCATGTCCTATTGGTGGGAACTGAGTGATGGGTCCTCGTGTTGGTGGCAAAAGAGACTGAGAGACAAGCTCTGTGACTGGGAAGTCATGTCTGACAACAGCTCCACTGCACTGGGGACGGGAGGGCAGGGTTTGGTGGACAGCCAGCAGACTACCCTTCAACAAGACAAGAGGAAAAACCAAAAAGAGAAGCAGTTAGATATAAGCAACTATAAAAATTTTACTCCTCTTATAGAAAATGACTCTTTTTCAAAAAGTAGGCTTTCCATGTTTCTTCCTGAGGTGAATTTATGTCAAAGAGCATATGTACTGGACTCTTTTTTAAATTGAGATAATAGCAATGCATCCATTTCAGATGTACAACATAATGATTTGATAATTTTATTGCAAAATGATCACCACGATATGTCTATTAACATAAACTGGCCTAGCAGTGTTCTTGCTGAGACGGGGCAGGCCAGGGATGAGGCTGCAAGGAGAAGAGGGCCCTGAGGAGCCTGACTAAAGTTGGTCAAGGAGGGAGCCCTTGCCAAGTACTATTATAATTTATTTTTTTAAAAAAGATTTATTTATTTATGCATACAAGTGCTGAGGTGTAGGCCAGAGGTGCAGAGAGGTGAGAGGATTCACCAGAGACAGAGTGGGGAGCAGAACAGGCAGATGGACTGAAATACACTGCTGAGGGGAGCAGTGGGCAAGACAGGAGAGGTCTGCTGTGCCATGTGGGTAGCTCCCTGGCTGGGGATTGAACTCATGCTGCAGAGGCTGCAGATAGCTTCACAGTGCTGTGTTTAACCCCTTGCACCACCAGGGAGGCCCTACTATTATAATTTAAATGGAGTTAATGACTCATAGATTATTTGTTTCACACTCATCATTTTGGAGAGCACAAAAGGACACAAGTCGTGGAAATAGACATCACAGTGGATATAAATATTTAACTGGTAAGGAGAGGTAAAGAGCAGTGAACATAATGTATTCAACATAAATCACTTCATTTCCATTTTCTCACCAACACTGATCTGTGTGTGGCGGTGGGACATAGAGTGCTAAATGAAACCTTAAGTTTCCTTCCAGTTCTGTATTTCTCCATTTTACTTAAGTTAGGTGACTAAGCACAATCATTTTAAAATTTGATTTATGCTGCAATTAGATGAAGTTATAGAGGGGCCTGCTAAGACAAGGAGTTTTATAAGTAGCAAATAAGAATCAGGAGAAAGCTCAGGTAATATTTGAAAATGTTTTGTTAAAAATAAGTACAAATACAATGATTTTTGTCATTTTCAAATATAAAGTCTAAATTACTGTGAAAACAAGTTTGGATGTTAAAGTGTGTTCATGATTTTGTCTCTTATTGTCTTATAGCTTTATCACCCCAACGTTGTACGCTATTACAAAACATTTCTAGAAAGTAAGTATGAGTTTGCATGATAACTCCAATTAGGAAAAGTCTCTGTTACATTTTTATGTCAAAATATCTTAAGATATAATACTCGACGTCCTTGCCCTTTTTGTTGCTTATATGACAGTAGATGAGCTTGTGCATCCCTTTCTTGGTCAGTGGAACAGTGATATAATCAGTAATCTGAAGATATTTACAAAATAACTGTAAAATAGCTATTAAAAAAAAAACCCTCCTATATGAAAGACACTGAACACACCAACATAGTTATTATAGCTATTTTCATACATAATAAAAGCCTGAATAGGACCAAGAGAGAAGAAAGTTAAAAGATAGTGGCTTTTTAAAGAAAAAAATAAAAGGAAATCTTGTTTTGGTTGAATCCGATGACGTTTTCAACACCAGAATAAATTGGGAGATTTCTTTTAAATCTCTGAATAATTTGAATTTCTGAATAAATTGAGATTCTTCTACTTGAAGTTCAGCTAAATGCCACAAGGTGGCGATGGAGCTCTGACCGATTCTGCAGCAGCCCGCAGGCGGGCCCTGTGCCAGGATGAAGGAGCAGGAGGGAATAAACACCCTGAGATGAAGCCCAACCAGGTTACTTGTGAAAAATAATATCTGACCTTTGGCTAAAAAAACACTAGTATTGATAAGCCCTAGTACTTTGCGTCACACCTGAAATTTCAAAGCCCTCTTTGAAGGAAGATTTGAAGAGCTACAAGGCAATAATTGGGGTCTCCTCACTGCCTGGTTGTCAGTGTTGTTGTTAAGCAAACCTTTTGTGTGCTTTAGTATGTTCTGATCTTACCCATCTCCCTCCATCTAGAAGACTCAGAGGAACTCAGTGCCCAGTCTCTCCAGTAAATCCTGCCCCCTTGGCCATTTATTTGTTCTTAATGTAAGAATCATTTCCTATAATTTAGTGTGTATACCTTCAGACATCAAGACTGGTTTCTGACTGGTACTGAAATGATGCAACTTGTATTAATTAAAAAAAAAGATAATTTTTCTTTTTACAACCCGACATCTGCCACCCAAAATGACAGTACTTAAAAATACATAAAATATGATAACAGTAGATTAGGAAAGTGTATGAGGGCGAGAAAATAAAAATTGAAGTGATGAATACATTTGCAACATAAAATAAAAGCTTCCTGGAATTATAAAAAATTGGAAACAATATGTTTATTTTTTGGAGACTACAATGACTAAATATTATGTCTGCTACTGTGGAATATTAAGCAGCCAGCAAAAAGAATGGTATGGCTCTTTATGTACTGATATAGACAGCGATTGAATGGAAAAAGTATAAATTGCACACCATGTATCGTATTTCATTTTTGTATATGTTGTGTACATAATTATTTCATATACATCCAAAAAGTCACAAAAGATATATATTACATACCATTGTTAACATACCAGTACCATTGTTAGTTTCATACTGATTTTGGAGGAGAAAGTAGCATTTACTTTTGTTTCTTGGCATCCAAAGCAAAGAGACAAACACAATCAGTTATGACCTTTACCTTGTCCATAAGATAAAAGCAGGAGAAACCCAGTTTTCTCTGCTCTTGAGGGAGATTAACAGAATTTGCTATCAGGGGTAATATTTCCAGCTATCTTTGCAAGACCAGGGTATGATACCACTGTCAAATTCTGTGAGGTAAATCTCTGAGGTTATAAAACACTACGGTTATTTAAAACACAGTTTCCTGAATATGTGATTTGCTTTAAGAGTAAATGTGAGACTGTTGAGAGGAAAGGTGGGTTTACATGAGAGGAAAGGTGGGTTTACATGTTCTTAGGAAATCCTGCCTGACTTGGGATCATTTCCTGCTTCTCTTTGGTGCCCAACCATGCCTCATCCTCACGGACATAGAAAATGCTAATATTTGCCAGTATAAACTTAGGCTTGTAGGCTGCCTGGGCTGGAAGAGATTGTTGCTGGGCTCCAGTGGCCAGAAACCCCCTAACCTCTATCTCCTCCAAGGCTGAGAGGATCCATATCTTAGTGTTTCTAAATCTTTAGTGTCCTGTCCAGCACACATATGGAACGCTTGGCTATAGATATATTTTAATTTTTTTAATGAAGTAACATTGCATTATAACATTTTAGGTTTCATGTGTGCATCATTATAAGTCAGCTCATTTCACCACTGAAAGTCCAGTTCTGTCTTTCACCATGTCACTGACTGCTTTTACCTACCCCCAACCCCTTCCCTCTGTGAAGCACTACTTTGGTTTTATAATCTTTTTATTTTTAAATGTGTTTGAATTAATTCATATAGCTAGTGTTTTTTTTTTTTTAAAGATTTATTTATTTATTTATACAAGCACTGGGTACAGTCAGAAGCGCGGGAGGGTGAGAGAATTCACCAGAGCCAGAGCGGGGAGCAGAGCAGGCAGAAGGACCGAAGTACACTGCTGAGGGGAGCAGCGGGCGGCAGGAGAGGTCTGCGCGCCATGTGGGACCCTCCTTTGGTGGCCGGGGAGCAGCCGGGGATCGAACCGGTGCTGCAGAGGTTGCGAGCAGCTTCGCAACCCAGCGCTCAACTGCTGCGCCACCAGGGAGGCCCTGTTTTTATAATCTTAATGCTTATTTTTGTTTCATTTAATTCATTTGTTTGGAAGCTTGAATTCCAACTTGAACTTTTTTCAAAATATCTTCATCGAATTTAAATCGCTTTCTTGTTTCGTTTTTATGTAGATGACCGGTTATATATAGTTATGGAACTCATAGAAGGGGCCCCTCTTGGAGAGCATTTCAGTTCTTTGAAGGAAAAACAGCATCATTTCACTGAAGAGAGATTATGGAAAATATTCATCCAGGTATGCCTTATCTTCATTCTGTTTTTTTCTCTGTAAAACAGCAAAGTCATGAGTTGATTTCTTAGAGACACGGGTGGTAGTGACCAGTGGTTTTCTCAATATTGGGGGAAGTAAAATCTGTGTTCTCTTTGCTATTTCAAGCTGTGCTTGGCCCTCCGGTACTTACATAAGGAGAAGAGGATTGTCCACAGAGATCTGACACCAAACAACGTCATGTTGGGGGATAAGGACAAAGTGACCGTCAGTAAGTGACTTTCTGTCTAGTAGGCTCTTCTGCAGTGACGAGGATATGCTGTGCCCGTGCTGTCCCACCTGCGGCTAGCGTGACAGAGACTGTGGGTTTCACATATGATTAAGTTTTAATTTAACCCTCCAACATGTGACTTGTGGCTGCTGTGTTGGACAGTGGCGACTGCAAACTAGCGATTGAATTACATGTGAGGATAACGTACTCCTAGCATCTTAGAGGATTTACTTCTACGTTTTTATGACTGGCTCATGAGCACATGGCTTTGGAGTATTTTAATACAGTGGCCCTAAGTGATAATGCATTTTTTTTTCATGTGCCTATAAGTTATCTCTGTCTTCCTTGGAGAAGTGTCTGTTTTACCCTTCTGCTCCATATGTGATTGGGCTGTTTGTTTTCTTTCTGAGTTGTATGTGTTTTTGATCGATTTGGGATATCAGCCCCCCTGTCTGAGATATGGTGTGCAAATATTTTCTCCCATTGGGAAGTATGGAAGAAATGATACATTCTTAGAGGCATGCTTTATTTATATACATGCACTTACCAGAAGACAGAGTTCACCAGAGCCAGAAGCAGAGCAGGCAGAAACCGAAGTACACTGCTGAATATGTTCCTATCGATTCGCAACCTTGTGATACATTCTTAGAAGCATATACCCTTCCAAGACAGAGTCAGGAGAAACGGAAAACCTGCATAATATTTTTAAGAGATCAACCTTGTTCTTTGTTTCATTTTTATGGAATCCTATTTTTATGCTCCTAGACAATTAGACTTTCCTCCTCTTTATTTTTTTTTATTTTTGCTTTATTTTCTGGCACCCCCCTTTTTTCTTTTGCAACACTTGGTAAGTTTTGTCTATTTGTGAGATCTTTGCATTTCTTTTCTCAAATATCTAATACTCCTGGACTGTCCTTTACTACTTACAAAAAAGACACTAAAAAGGCTGTTGGAAGTGCTAGGTGTTCCTGTTAAAGCTGTCATCTGGCACACTTCTTTGGAACATAAAGGGGCGTTCCTTTGGAATCCCACCAAAGTCAGTCTATAAACTTTTTTCAGTGGCCGCACCCAGTGTCTCACTGGGGAGCAGTGTCCATCTGCCTGTTGTCACTCTGGGAGCAGTGTGGACAGAGGGGCCACAGGGAGCCATGTTCAGTTCATACAATTTTACCAAATTCCATTGATTTCAGCCTAGTGCTTCATCCAAGTCCCATTGTGTTTTGATTTCTGGCTGGTTCCATTATTTTATTTTATTTTATTTTATTTTTAAATTTTTAAATCCAGTTTTCTGTTGGTGGCAGAGGGTGCTCAGTTTACTGCTGCTGCCACGTGTGGATGTGGGAGGGGGCTTGGGGACTTGATCTTGAGCCCACATTTTGAGCTTCTCTCTTCCCCCTTCTCCCTCAGGCCTCACCTTCTTTTCTGCCTCCCTCTTCTCAGACACGTCATAGGCTGAGACTTCTGGTGAGCCTATATCCATTCTCCTGCTCGCCCTCTTCCAGAAATTCCCTGGAAGATTCCATCCCTTTTGTTGGCCCGCCCATTCTCATTGTTCTTGTGGATTAATAACTTCTCAGAGAAAATTCCTTCCCCTTCATTGCATAAGATTTTGAGAACTCTATGATCTAAATACTTGTGGTCACTTTTTACCTAACATGGGCCGGTAGTTCATTAAACTTTAACAAAATATCCCACTTTATTGTGGACTCTCTGACTGTAATGAAAACATCTATTTTTTGCTTGTACTCAAATTGCAGAAGACACCCTAAGAAATGTTACTTTGTTTTATCCAAGTAAGAAAACTTTTTTTTTTTCCTGACCCCCTATTCTCATTCTGCCCAGTTTAATAATGTTGATCAGACTTATCCTTAGGAATTATTAAGTTGAAAACTATTTCCAATTTTCAAGACTCATTAACTTTAAATGAAGAGATATTTTTCTGGTTTCACATAAAGAAGCAATGATAAAGCTAAGTACAGGATCTCATCCATGTCCAGTTTCTCTCCACTGTAACAATTTGATAGACGACCATTACTTCAAATGGGTATAAAATGATTTGATGACTAAAAGATGGTCCACAGATATTTGATAGCACCCATTATTTAAAAAACATAAATTTAGTAGTGATGAAATTTGTTTTGCAGCGTCATTATTCATGTAAATGTGGACATTAGAGGCGCTTCCTTTTAAGAGGGATGATGATTCAATCCAAATCGGATCACATTCATTTGAAGGCAACCTTATAAGAGTCCCATATTTTGGGAGCTTGAAATAGAGCTGATAAAAGTATGGTGTGTGTGTGTGTGTGTGTGTGGTGTGTAACCATGTCACCACAAAGGGGCAGTCTCGTTATATTTAATTTTTCTCTTCTCTTGGACAAGATGGCTTTCCCTCCCGGCCCTCTCTGAAAAGAAGCACAGAATTACCAAGTGATGTTTATGTGCGTGACACAAAGCGTATTGAAAGTGTGACCTGATAGAAATGCTTAAGAAAACCTGAACCGTAGCCCCTCCTCATTTTTCCCAGTGTCAGTGAATTAGATATTTTAAAACTGGGCTTGGTTTGCAGTTGTCTAGAGGACGTGTGCTGGCTGGAGTTTGCCTGGGCGAGGCAGCAGAGTTCTAACATATTGAGAGGTGTGTGGTTTTACAAATGGTATCTAATTCCATGCCTCATTACATTTCCAGTTAAAAGACTATCTTTAATGACTTGTGCTGTGAAAGACACCTAGGTCTTGTCTCTGTATTTTTGGGGGCAACCAGGAACAGACCTGATTGTGCTGGTGCCTGGGGCACAGCTGACTCCAGGTGCTGCCATCTGCCCTTGGGAACCACCCTGTGCCTCCCCCACCACTCACCATGTCTCGTTTCTTAGCCTTTTCAAATACCCACATTTTAAAGTAAGCCCTTTCCTGCTCTCTTTTTCCTCCTGCTTTCAAATAAAAAAAATCAAAATTCATTTAACTCTAAGTAATAGATTCCAGAGTTGGGCTTCAGTGTGTGCGTCAGGCTGGCTGCGTCTTCAGTGTCGTTTGGCCACTCTGCTGCCAACAGCCCCCAGGGCATGCTTGACTCCAAGGAGTGCTTATCAAAGGCTCAAAGGTTTTCCAGATGCTATCACCTGCCAGGCATGTGGGGTTGGCCATAAGGTGGGAGCACAGCCTCTGTTCCTGAGCCCACAGTCTTACAGGGAAGATTCTTCCCTTCACTCAGCAACTGTTTCCCGAGCTGTCCCATCCTCTAGTCACAGACTGGCATGTGCAAACAGGGAAATGTACGAGCAGTTTCCACTGATATTTCAGCAGCGAGTGTAACCCACAAGTACAAAAGGAAAGATCTACTTTCTTGAATGCCACCAAAGTTTGAGGAATCAAATTAGACCTGTCTGGTATTGCCAGAACCCTCGGCATTTTCATGGAGTATTAGAAGATTTTAATAGTTAATGGTTGACTCGAAGGCTACTGAAATGTATCATTATAGGAAAAACGAATTAATACTACACTTCTTATAGGGAACTCAAAGCCCTTATGTGTGCATTATTTCTTGTACCTATAAAATATCCTGGTCAAATCTGTATGGAATGATATTTGTTGTGACTTTTGTGGGTCCCTGGACCTATCTTGCTTTGAACTTATTTGTTCTGTGGTTTCCCCCCCCCACATTAACCAAATATAGTGTCCATTTGATTTTGAACTGACACAGAACTTTGAGTGCTCTTAAAAGACTACAGAAAATCAAATCACTGTGTCACATACCCTTATAGCATCTGTTGTGAGAAGGGTAATCATGGAATTTCTAGAATTTCAGTCAACAAACATAGCCTTTATGAAACTAAGAAAGCACGAATATTTTCTCTCAGGTCCATTACAGTTTCTTATATTGCACTGCAGCACATAAAATGAAATACTGAAGCAAATTCAGTCCGTTCCAATTTCTAAAAATAATTTTAAGATTTCCATGGTGTCCAGGGTCACTCTGCAGTTCTGAGATTTGAATGTCAGTTAGCTTTGAGGAAGAGAGAATGGAAGTCCTGAGAAAGTCAGAGCAGGGAGGTCTTTACCCCAGGCTGGAGGATGAGTGTTCTGGTGAGATAATGGACCAAAGGAGGGAATCTGGAGGTACTGCCTTCATACTTCCTCAGGAAAATGTTAGAAATGAAAACTTCCCAATGTTAGTTTTATAAGGACTGATGTGTTATATTAAAAGACCTAAAAGTAAGTAATAAAGAAGGGTTTATTTTATTTATTTTAAACTTGTTTTAAAAAGATTTATTTATTTATGAATACAAGAACTGGGGTACAGGCCAGAGGTCTCGGGGTGGGGGCAGAGGATTCACCAGAGACAGAGAGGGGGAGCAGAACAGGTGGACTGACTGAAATACAGTGCTGAGGAGAGCTGCAGTTGCCATGTGGGTCACCTCCCTGGCTGGCTGGGGATAGAACTCATGCTGCAGAGGCTATGGATATCTTCACAGTGCTGTGCTTAAATCCCTTGCAACACCAGGGAGGCCCAGCAGGGTTTATTTCAATGTGCACTTTCATAGAGGCCTATTGTGATAGAGACAGTCTCATTTTTCCCAGAAGAGTTTAATGTAGGGGGTAGACTCTCATGTGGTCTGTGCATGCTGTTTTCATTCTGTGAGTTTGGGTACCAAAGTGTGTTGTGCACCTTAGCATGGTGAGTGGATGAAGTGTCTATTTTTACAGAGGCTGATTCAGCAGTGCGCAGCACTGCACACCTCACTGTCAGTGGTCTGAAGCATATGGACTTACCTCTATGCAGAAAATATTCGAATTGGGTGTTGAATTTTCCATCCTGAAGCTCCCTGTCATAATAACTCTATCAATCAAAATTAATCAAATAACGATGCTGTTGGGAAAAACAAATACTATCTTCACCCTATCTGATCCAGGGTGGGTCTGCACTGAGGTTTCAGGTGTGGCTATTATTTGGGAGTATGACACACATGGGGTGGGTGAAAGCTCCCTGGGGGGAGGGGTG